TTCGCCCCTGACGTGGGATCAAATTCTGTGAAGGTTGTGCTATGTATAGACTGTTAATCTACCTTTAGGAATGTTCTATTCGACTTTTCCAAGCACAGTGGAGTGGATAAACGCATGTACGGTCTCTACAAAGAGTTTCCGTGGCTTAGCTATATATCAGACCAGTGGTACCATCTTCCTATGCAAGTTTGGTACCATTTCGCCGATCCCAACTCAGAGGAAGACTTAATTTGCGTGCTGTCCGGGGTCGAAGATGTGACGATATGTGCACCAGAGAGCCTCTAATCGCTCCTATCGGTATCCCGAGTGTCGCACAGGCAAGCCACGAATATAGTCATTTCCAAAAGCTTTGAAGGTACTTTTACCACCCTCTTCTGTATCTTACTCAGGTATTGCTCTGCAACATTACCTACGTCTTCAGATATGAACAGGTCATTAAACACGAATTTATTAAGGCTGAACGAATTATTTTCTAGAAAACAGCATTTCCTTTCAACCTATTCTCGTGCTGGTCTAGTTCTGATATGCAGTTGTGCAAAAATGACCGGATTCTTCTGACAATAACATTATAAAAAGAAAGACTTCATTTCACATTCGCTTTCCTTTCCTGAATAACTGGAGCAAGACTGGCTATTTCAGTCTCTATGCAAAGGTTTGTAAAGGTAGCACAGATCTAGCGAAAAAGGTATGAACGCTATATGTGAAACATGGAGCGAGAGAGAGAAGCACGTGTTTTCGCTTTTATGATTGCCTATTCCCAGAATTTCTGATAACAGCAAACATAAAATGACTAGAGTTCCTAGAATCAAAGGTGAGTTAAGACCGGCAAGAAGAAAAATCTGCGGGACTCAGAACACGAAAGGAAACGTTTTATGAACTAAGAGAAGTTGGGTCAAAACACAACCAATTGCATTTCAATACCAATTTTACCTTGAATGAAACCATTCCAAATTGGTACAGTCCCATGAGATCTTTTTCTTAAACATATTAAGGAATGTCCTGACAAGGAGGACTGTTAGAAATAACCCATTCAACATTTTTTCCTCGAAAACTTATTTGCGTTCGAACATTGAACAATTGGTACTGCTTTATTGGACAGCCCTCTACAACGATTGCTTGGCACAAAGCGAGCTCTCAGTAGTGTAAAGGAAGAGCTCATGTGTTCTTAGGAGAACGCTAAAAAACTCATGTTGGTGTGATGTAATGAGTCTTAAAATATCTCACAGAGGATGGGGAAATATCATGAACTTATAAGATGACACTTTTTTATCCCAACTATTTGAGCAGATTTAGAATCTACATTCGAGATATCAGTTTCTCATGATGAATCATAAGCTTGCGCGAAAAGAAAGTGACAAAAACACAAGCATTCTTCAGCATAATAACATGATGAAAAAAGCTGGCCTTGCTGTGCAGTGCTGGCAGTGTTTTTAAAGGTGTGAACCAACACAAATTCCATCAAAACTCCTCGGAATCCAAAAGAAGTGAGTTTCGTAAGTTTTGGTGGCAATTCCAGACGCCACGACACTGTTCACGGATTTAAATGATACTCGAATGTTCTTCTGCAGTCTCTGAGGCTTAGGTTATTTTTATAATGAAACGGTTTTGATTCAATGAATCCAAACCTGAACAGAAGTGGAAAGAATCTAGCCAAAGGTTTTTTATTCATAGGACATCGAAGCGATACAGGTTCAAAAGGGGTTTAAATTATATAAGCCGTTTAATCTGAAGGCAAGTCGTTGTTTTGCGACAACTCATTACTAATAGCCTGCCGAACCCAGTGATTTGCTCCAGTTTTCCTTCCTGCTTCCTTCTACATGCTATCTTGTGTTGCTCTTCTCTTTATTACGTAGGCCGACTTTATCTATAAAAGTGACGGCTGCCATATCTGAATGATTGTGCTGTCACTGCTAGTTTATGCTGCTCTCCGAACACCTTCATCTGTGGCTGCTCCTGTTGCCGATGCAAGAGAACTTAGCGAAAAGGTTGGTTCATCTCTCACAATTGTTTTTTTTATCCGATTAGAGTCCTCAAGCTGACTGTGTTGCGTAGAAGTACTAAGTCCCCTTTATTATAACATTGCAGCCACCTACACTATTGGAAATAATGTGAGTCATACATATTCTACAATGATGAAGATTTTCTTAGTTTCCACTCATATTTTTCATTGTTCTTACCAAATCCTATTTAGATTGTTATATTTCGGAAAACTGTGTCATACAATGGGTGAGACCTTTAAAAGCAGAAACCTGCAATTGTGTGTGAGATTGCTCTGGAAAAATCACTATTTTCCTCGAAGGTCTGCAACTATTGCGAAACCTGGGAAAACGCTAACAAGACCAAGGTGGGATTCCGGGAAAAATGAGCTTGCCTAGCAATCAGTGAAATTCGTAAAGATTCCTTAGCTGCAGTCGAAAACACGAACAAAATCTGAGCAACTTCGTGGATGACAAGCGCACTAAAATTAGTCGAAATTAAGCACTGCAATCCGAATGATATGTGAAGACATATTCACATATTGGAAAGCATAAGTGAAGGAAAGGCATATTTGATCCTCACCGCACACACCTGCAGTCCGGAGTGAGTTTTGCAAATATCTCAGCGTTATGTGGTTATGTGAAGACTGTTTATATAAAAGAAAGAAGGGAAGTTATGCATAAAATTCCAAGGAACTCTCAATAATTAAATTCCTCCTTTGGCACTAAGACACCTTAGCAAAAAGTCGATTTAAACCCTCTCTGTTAGACAGACAATCACCCAATATTAATCTTGACTAGTTTATAGCTTAAGGCGATGTTGGTCGGCAAGTTGAATTTGCCTCACTCTCAAAGCCTTAAGTGGAAGTACGTTGGAGCAGTGTCAGGCGGAGAAAAAGTCGGCGAGACTTTGCATACTATAACACCAAACGGTGAGTTGCCAAATGAACAATGCCGCAGACCGCACCAAAAACCAAATTTTTAAAAACACTTGGTTCCTAAGTTTCTGAGCTTTTCCTGTTCCCACGGGGAAAATCTCACAGTTCTTTTGTTTAGGCATATGCGTGATTATGGACAAAATCGAAATCTCCGACTGTTTTACTTACTCTATCCATCCACAAACTCCTGCACTTTCGGCTAAGTTTACGATGAGGTAGCTTTACCCTGTTCGGTTTACGCGTTTTCCACAAGCACCAACAAACTATAAATGGTTTTTGAGATATTGGAAAGGCGAACTACCACACAAGAAAGCCAAGTGGTGTCAGTTTTCCGGAACCGTTTTCATGATGAATCAACGAATCCACCACTGTACCTGAGCTCTTGAATTCGCTCACGCCCAATCTCGTCCTATCCGTTATCCGCATTGAAAAGACATTTCTGCTATACTGCTATTGCTGAAAATGGCCTGTGGCCCAGAACTGCCTAGTCTTAACGTCAAGATTTCAGCGCTCACATTTATGTTGGCTTGCTATTGATTCTTATATAGAGTAAAGGTACCAGTTCTCCATAGCGTAGCGAAACTACAATGCCCATTGCCATAAATACTTGATACTTGATACTTGAACTTAAACGGCCCATTTTAACTAGTTGTGCGCGCCTTAGGATAATTACCATTTTTCAGAGATTTGAGCGATAAGCCATTATAGTTACCCGAAATCCCGAGGTCATCATGGCCAAAGTCTGCCCAAGGTCGTTACGACGACAGGCAGTCGCAGCCCTTGTGGATCAGAGAGGGATTTGCCACCATGCGACTTTGATATGGTGGATCATTGGTTTACTCATAGCTAGGCTTCCCGATGGAAACGCCGGACTCCTTCTCGACCTGGGAGACCCTGCCGGAGGATGAATCGCTCCGCTGTACATCGCAGTCCGACACCCAGGAATACTTCCCAGCCACGATGAGGCAGTAAACCATTAGGAGGACTGCGATAAATAACCTGTCATCTGTATCACCTGTAGACCCGTTGATCGTCGAGTGACTCCAGCGGGTGCCAGTAAATCTTCCACTTTTCCCTGTCGCGTACAAGAGTAGCCCAATGGGTTCTGTTCGCTCTAGAGACTCATCGAGCATTATATCTTTCTTCTAGGCTTTTCGTGAAGAACTCTAAAGTTCGGGTCAGTGGTCTTCCTGCAGTACGTTTGACGTCTCGAGAAGTCCAGTCACTAACGGTCCTTGCCCATCGGTTGTTCACGTGTCCGGCTCACCTTATCTTCGGCTGTTTGGCGTGCAGAACGGCATCTTTGGTTTTTGATCGTTGTCGCAGGTCGGGGCTTCGGATCCCTTCCCTTGCTTGTGTGAAAAAGGATGCTCCTAGCATCGTCCTTTCGACTGCGCGTTCGATAACGTTGACTAACCTTTCATCGTGCTTATGCAGCGAACAAGTTTCTGACGCATACGTCAGGGCGGGAAGTACCGTTAAGTTGAAAATGTGGGCACGGACTCGAATGTTCTTTGCCTCTTCACTACATCCTCGATGCTCTTGAAAGCTACCCAAGCCGCTCGTTTCCTTCTGCTTAGCTCTGGAGCTAGGTCGTTCATCATATTGATTTCCCGACTTAGATAGATATAACTGGAGCATTCGGAGATGTTCATTCCGTTGAGCGTGAATAGAGCATACGGAACCAATCTGTTTCTCATGAACATCGCTTTTGTGGGAACGATCAAACACCAATCTTTCCACAGGCTTTGTCGAAGTCGGAAAGCATACATCCCGCTTGACTAATGCTTGGTGTTATAAGGACGTTGTCATCAGCAAAGCGAAGATAGTGTAACTGCCGACGATCGATATTCACTTCCATATCATCCCATTCCAATGTTCGTATAACGTTCTGGAGGGAGGTGGTAAATAATTTTGACGAGACGGTGCCGTCTTGCCTAACCCCTTTTTTCACATCAATGATAATATCGTTGTAGAATGGTGATATCATGGGTGTGAAATTCTTGTACAGCTTATGAAATGAAGATTCTTTATATACTGAGTAGGGACACCCTGACTATCAAAGGCTTCCATCACTGCTCCTATCTCAATTGTATTAAAGGCCTTTTGTATATCGATGTAAGTGAGACAGAGCGGTCCTTTGTACTCTCGCGATACTTCAGTGTGCCTTGTTATCGTGCGGATGCAGTCCATCGTACTAAATCCTTTTCAAAGCACTATTTGCTCACATGGCCGTCCTTTGTATAGCGTTCTACTAATTCTGTTTAAGATGACTAGAGTGAAAAGTTTGTAGACGACAGACAGCAAGCAGATCGGGCGAGAGTTGCCGATATCGTGTAGGTCACCCTTATTGAACAATAACACGGTTTTTCTGGTATTCCATTGAGTAAGTGACCTTGCATTCAGACAGATAACGTATGAAGAGCCGAGCCAGTGTGTTTACGGGGACTGGCGGAAGGTTCTTCAAATGTTCTGGTCTTAGCCTGTCCGGACCTGGTGCTGTTCGATTCTTTACCAACGAAATGGCATGTCGGATTTCGGAAAGGAGAACCAGCGGTACAACATATCCATCCTCTTTTATTTCATATGACGGAAGCCGGATACGGCCATCGAAGAGATCTGAATAGTATTCGTAAATGATTTTCTCCACTGCCTTTCTGGACGCTGTAACTGTTTCATCTGGGCGTCGGAGTGCAACCATCTTGATATTGTAATTGGCGAAGCTTCGGTGGGCTTTGCAAACACTTTTCCGAGCCTCTGTTGCTTCTTTTATTACTACTGCTCTTCTCTCTTTAAAATCTTCTTTTATCGCCTGTCTGCATTGTTTTGCAAGTTCGGACGTTAATTCGCGGTAGCCTACAGCTTGTCCGATTCCACGATAGCGTATCAGCTCGGGTGTTTCTGGAGACAAACGTCTCTTGGTAACTTTCGAACTTCCGTTTTCATAGCGCCAACGTGAAGGTTTTGAATGAGCCGATCGTATTCTTCGTCGATGTTATCGTCAATGGCATCTTTCCAGTAGCCGACTAATGAATTGAATAAATCCCAGCTTACGGTGGTTCTGGGAGTTGGGTTTTCGAATTCAGCGGCTTTTTCTCTATTCCGCGAGAAATAGAATCTTGCACGAAGGAGATGGTGGTCTTATTCCGTGTAGAATTTTGGGAACAACGGCGACATCGATTAGGCAAAACCTTCGATTTACTATGATGTGCTATATTTCGCTACGGTGCTCTCCATTGAGAGACACCCATGTCCAGCGTTGAGGGTGGGGCTTCTGGAATTGCGCGTTACCATGGATGGTCTTGGTCGCCATGATAAACTTAGATAGCCGCTCACCCTATTTGTTACATTCTAATCCATGGGTCCGAATGTGACGTCTTTCAGACGTTCTTCTTGTTCTAATCTTGGCGTTGAAATCTCCAACCATGACCTTAAAGAATGTGTGGTATTCTCTTTAGAACTTCTCTAAGTTCATATAAAACGCTTCGACTTCTTCTTCGTCATAGTTTGATGTCGGCGCATTAACGACGAAGATAGCCAAAGCCGGTATTGAACTACACCTTTTTAATCGTAAAAGTCCGATTCGGATTGTTAGTTGTTCGAATGAATCGATGTTCATGGACAAACTCGTGTTGAAGAGAACGCCACGCCGTCGACTCCTCTACTGTCGCATGTTCCGAGGAGCAGTTCTTCTCCGGTGTCATAGAGGGTGTTGAAAGCCTGGCGTCTTCTCGTCTCGGCCAGGCCGATGACATCGTACCTCATCCTTCTTGCTTGCATGAGCAAGCCTTCTATCGAGGACTCGGATGCAAGTCTACGTGCATTGTAGGTACAGATCGTCACCATAGTTCTTCGCGATCGAGGCCGCTTCCATTGGCCCTGAAATTTTAGCAGCCTCTCTGTACTCCTCCTACCCAACGCTGCGAAAAGGGGCTCTTTCGGAGTCAGGGAGAGAGACCCAGTTTTTCTCTACTGTGTTTAGCATTTTTGATATCCACGAATATCTTGCTGGGCTCTGAATGTGGTGGTTGGGTATGCTCACGGGTAGTTTGCCAGGCTCTCAGAGAGTGGATGTGGAGCTTATTTGTTGTTGGCGACTCCTAACCGCCTCCCATGTACTTCCGTGTCACTTGATTGCAGGCTTTTGGCTGAATTGACTCGTAGAATATAATCCTCATAAGCAGGAATGCACCCACACACGCATGCATGAATACGCCTAGCAGATACAGAACGTATGTGCCAAATCGGCGCGGCAGAAACAGAGAGTCCATCCCCTGGATCCGCCTGCGTCTCAGAGAAGAAAGGGTCCTTAACCCCCTATCTGCCACCTGGCAGCACGTTACCCTCGCGACTAACTGGCTTGAGATCCCTCACATAAGGGTGATTCGTGGATCTATGCGATAAATATGGTTGTGTAAAACACTTAGAATTTATGCGAATAGAGTGGTTTCTGTCACAGGTTTTTTTCTCCTGACATTTTTGTGGCTTCTTACATTCCCCTCATTTGAGAAGAATTCTCATGTTTAAAAGTTTTCCCTACCGGAGAGAATCTATTTCGGGCGATTGTGGGAATTCGATTTTGTACGACTGGTTTTCACTGGCTATTTTATACCATCAGTTTACAAAATAGTAAGGAAAGTGAAGAAGTAATTACTCTGAAGAACTCGTACGTTGCCTAAATTAACAATAGGAGAGTTTTCTTGAATATGATCAGAACTAGGACGACTAGAAAGTACTGTACATTTCAGATTGAAGCAGGCCATGAAGCCTGTCAATCTGACAGTGACTTTATATGAGACGAGTCGCTGGAGGACCAAGCTAACTACTCTGGGTCGAGCGGACGTCGACTCGCGAGAAATGGACGGCGTCCGTAGCCTCCGCGTCGAAATCCTCCGCAACGCCAAAGGCTGGTTCAATGCCATATGGAATGCGGAAGCGCCGGTGCTCCGCATGCTTAAGGTGTCCACTGTTTGCCCATTTACTTCTCATTCAAGAGTCTGATCACATAAAGCAGTCCGAATTTCTAAGTGGGCGAATGTCCGACGAAACGAGGTATTCTTAAGGGTGCATTCTCAGCAGTAAAAGCAAGATTCCACCATTACTAAAATTCTCGTTTCGATGTTATAACAAACAATAGTATTATTTGAATAATCGACCAGTCCTTTAGGAAACGCTCAACGAATGTAAAATTTCCACTAAAACAACTCGAATTTCGTTTTTGCTTATATGCTAAAATCTGATTATGATTGAAATGTGAAAACGTTTCAGGTTGAAGTGTTAACGAATAATCGTCCAGCTTCCTATTTCGACTTTTTCTCCGAACCACCCGAGCTGGACTTTTCCTATGTCGAAGATGACCGAGTAAGAGTGAAGTGTGACCCCAGAGTGGAGTGCTGTCTCGTGCCACACTACGTCAACTTCACCGAGATAGGTTGTGTCACATTGTTTGTTCGTGTCTGTGGAAATTTCTGTGTTTTAATAGATGTTATTTAGTAGTCTTCACTATTGTATGAGGAGAACCCGCTATTTTATTTTATTTTATTTTATTTAATCCGTTTTCACCTCTAGTGTGCGGTTCTCAGCACTTCTCACATTCGATTCGTTTCCTCGCATTCATCATCCACTAAGATCTTTCAACTTTTTACATGTGGCTTCGGTTGTTGTTTGAGGAATTTTATTTCATCTTGAATGTCGTAAAATGCTGGTCGAGTAATTTTCCTTGGAGTCCTAAGATAGCCGGTCCAGAGCGTTCCCAATTGGACTGCAAAGAGTTATTTTTTTCCTGAACAAGTTCGGTACCAACTTCCCGACCCCGGAGAGATGGGAGGCTTGGTTGGTCGGGAACGGAACGATGCTTATGATGGCGGACATCTCTACCACTGTGCTATCCGCCTCCTTATAACACCTCTTAGAACACCTTTGTAGTGAAAAGAAATATGCAACATAGTTCAGTGACATTTCGGTAATTTGATATTTTTGATGCACCGTTCTGCTTGTAAGAGTTCATGAGGGCAGTACTCGCTTTAAAAAAGTTAACTATCAATCTTTTAAAAATCAAAAAAGCTTAACGTTTTATCTTTATTTCTAGGCTGGAACAAATTCATTATGTACCCCGTTGGCTTTTATGCCAACTACTGCATCGGTCCATCTCACGTCACCTGCAGTCACGAAAATCCAGAAGTTGAGGTTATACTGAGGTAAGATGAGACGACCGAAAAGGCTTCCCTTTTTCAAGTTCCTTCATTCTACCCGTTTGAAATCATCCTTAGGACCCGGATGGTGTAGTGGTGAAGTGCGCTGCTCCCCGGTAAGGACAACAGCGCGTGTTCGTTCTCCACTGCATACACCTGTGGTTCGGAGTTTTGCAAATATTTCAGCATTTCATACGAGTTATATTTCGCAATATAACCTGCCATTAAGAAGAAAAAAAAAGGCAGTAAATAAAAGAGTTAAGATTGTGATTATAACTAAGCCTCAGCTTAACTGGGTTCAATGCCGATATTGGCTCCCCAGATCAACCCCGTTGACGGGTGATTGCTGATGGCAAAAAAGATCGATACAAGTAGCTGAGATACACGGAAAGCGAAGGACCCGGATGGTGTAGTGGTGAAGTGCGCTGCTCCCCGGTAAGGACAACAGCGCGTGTTCGTTCTCCACTGCATACACCTGTGGTCCGGAGTTTTGTAAATATCTCAGCATTTCATACGAGCTACAAATAGTTTTCTTGATTCTGCTGCGACGATTTGACGGCAGACATATTTGAGGTTATCAGTGCACGCTCAGTTGCATCTGAGTCCTCGATAGGAGATTTAAGTGTGCAGGCAAGAAGAATAAGGTACGCTGCCTTCCGACTAAGTGTCCGGGGAAACCGCTGCCTATTCAACGCCTTCTATGGTGGCACTGGAGATGAACTGCTCCCTGGAATATACGACAATAGAGGAGTCGGCGTTCTCGTAAAAAAGCGTTTAGCGATGAACATCGATTCATGTAAACAAATAATAACCACGATTGGAATTTTACGGTTGAGGAGATGTGGATCAATACAGGCTTTGACAATCTTCGTTGCCTACGCACCCACTTCAAGCTATGACGAAGAAGAAGTTGAGGAGTCCTGCATGGACTTGCAGAGGATCTGCAGAGAAGACAATACATTCTTCAAGGTAGTCTGTGGAGATTTTGGCGCTGAGATTAAGACCCATAAAAAAATCTGAAGAACGTCACAGTGGGACCCTCGGATTAAAATGGAGCAGAGTGAGCGGCTGTCTGAGTTTTCCACGACGACCAAGACCATTCGTGGTAACTCGCAATTCCAGAAGGCACACCTTCAACGCTAGACGTGGGAGTCTCCCAATGGAGAGTAGCATAACGAAGTAGATCACATATAGTAAATAAAAGGTTTTGCTTAACCGATGTCGCTGATGTCTCAAAATTCTACACGGGATCAGACCATGCCCTCGTTCGTGCAATATCTCATTTCTTATGGAAAAGAGAAAAGCTTCCTGAATTCAAAAAACGAAGTCCTAAAACCACCAAAAACTGGAACCTATTCAGTTCCTTAGTCGCTTGCTAGGAAGATACATTTCCTGATAACATCGACGTCGAAGAAGATCGGCTAATTCAACATCTTCACGTTAGCGCTATCAAAGCTGAGAGTTCGAAAGTCACCAAGATTCGTCTCTCTCCAGGAACACTGGAGCTCATACGCTAGCGTGAGATCGCACGAGCTCCAAGCAACTGCCAACTAACGTCTGAACTTGGAAAACAATGCAGACAGGTGATTAAAGAAGACCTTAAAGAGAGAGAAGCACCAGTTGTGGTCGAAGCTGTAGAGACTGGAGAAAATATTTGCAAAGCCTACCGAAGCTTCTCCAGTTGCAAAACCAAGGTGTTGCACTACCCCGACGTCAGGATGGAATAGCGACAGCGTCTAGAAAGGCAATGAAGAAAATCATTAAAAATTGCAACTCATATCTCTTCAATAGCCATGTCCTCTTACCCTTATGTGAAATAAGAGTGGGTAGATATATCGTCCCACCACTTCACGCTTCCGAAATCCGACATAATATTTCGTCAATTAAAAATCGGAGACCACCTGGTCCGGACAGGGTGAGACCTGAACACTTGAAGGATCCTCTTGAATTATTGAAATAACATGATGTTGATAAAAAAGTTAATTCAGTGTCTTCGCCTTCTTCAGAACGGATTGATCTGAGTCGATGGTCCATAGCTGGTAGTTGTCGCAATGTAGTTGTTCGTTGTCGGATCGAAGCGAATCCAGAGGAGGGATCTAACTTCACTCGATGGTGCTCTTCTATAGACGACGGTTGTTGATACTGATATCCCGTTGGTAATCGTTTCTTTTTCTTAGGATAATCCTATAGTATCCGGTAGCAGTCTGCATTGTGTTATCTAGTACATATTGAACCAGCACTCATTAAACGGTTGACCAGAAGAAAAAATGCCTAAAGAACATTCCGTCAGTCCTCATCAACACACTATCTCAACTCCTCACACGTTAAGACCAGGGTGTCTCTGGTCAGTATGTAGCGATTTCTAGTGAGCTATACGAAAATTCCACATCCAAAATATCACCTTTCTACAACGATGTTAACGCCATTCTACAAAGATGACTTAGACAACGCGATACCATCTCGCCAATATTATTTACCGCCACCCTCCAGAACGTCATGCGAACATTGGAATGGAACACCATGCGAGTAAAAATCGATGATCGACAATTACACCACCTTCGCTTCGCTTATGACATCGACGATTAACCAGGCAGAACGAGTGCTTGTATACTTTGGTAACGTCTGTAGAATGATTCGTCCAGGACTATATTACGCGAACGCAATGTTCATGCGGAGCGGATTGGTTTCGTATGCACCATCTATGCTTAGTGGGCGGAATATCTACGAATGCACTAGGTATTTCTTTCTAGGTGGAGAAATAAGTACTGTAAGCGACTTAGGTCTAAAGTTGAGCAAAAAGAAACGAGTGGTCTGGTGGTGGGCTTTCAATAGCATCGTAGCCCTAACAACGACAACAAGGAGCACCTGACTCCGTGCCCACCTTTCAAATCCACGATTCTTGCTGCCTTAACACGTTCGTCAGAAACCTGTTCGCTGAGTACAATGAAAGATCACTCTACGTTATAAAACGTTTCGTCGGTAGAATAATGCTATCAGTGTCCCGTATCACCCAAGTGAGATAAGGGATCCCGAGCTCCGACCTACACTAACGATCATTACTCAAAGACGCCGTTCTGTACCCCAAACTGCAGAGGATAAGGGGGTCAGACACGTAATACGTAAGAACGACTTACCGTACAGACAAACCCCGACTGGAAGATGTTCATTAGCGTTGAACTCCAATGTGACTTCCGTCAGATAGTACAGCTACTAGTAAGCCAATGCCAGGAATCACTGCTGTGCTAAGAGAAAATTGAGCGAAGGACAGCAAATATCCCTTTAGGTTACAAGGACCGGCGATATCTTTTCATGGCAACTTGGGGGAAGCTCGGCACACCTTGGCTTAGCATTCCAAGCAAACAGCAAACAACAAACTCATCACTAAGCCGCTGGACAATGAGCGTCTGAATCTATATTGCCGGTCGCTGAAAAAATCGGTGAAGCACTGCTATATCTTTTGGTAGCACTCGACGTTAATGGAGCAGGATGAAAACAATACGTCCACTACACACCATGCATTGTTTTCTTTTGCTTTTCATACATCCACGGATCTAGCTGATATGAAGGATCTCGAGCCGGTTAATCGCGAGGCTACGTGGCGTGTCCCCAGGTGGCGGACAGGGGGGTAACGACCCTTGCTTCTCTGAGACGCAGGCGGATCCAGGGGATGGACTCCCTGTTTCTGCCGCGCCGATTTGGCACATACGCTCTGTATTTGCTAGGCGCATTCATGCTTGCGTGTGTGGGTGCATTCCTACTTATGCGGATTGTATTCTACGAGTCAATTCGGCCAAAACCCTGCAATCAAGTGAATGGGAACTATATGGGAGGCGGTTAGGAGTCCCCTCCAACAAATAAGCTCCATGTCCACCCTGGAAGAGCCTGGCGGACTACCCATGAGTATACCCAGCATCCACGTTCAGAGCCCAGCAAGATATACGTGGGTATCAAAAATGCTAAACACAGTAAAAAAAAACGGGCCTCATTCCCCTAACCCCGAAAGAGCACCCAAATTCCCAGCGTTGGGTAGGACGACCACGGAGAGGCTGTTGAAGTCTCAGGGTCAATGGAAGCTGCCTGGATCACGAGGAACTAAAGTGACGATCTGTACCTACAATGCGCATCCTACTCCTCGATAGAAGGCTTGCTCATGCAAGCAAGAAGGATGAGGTACGATGTCATCGGCCTGGCCGAGACGAGAAGACGCCAGGCTTTCAACACCCTCTATGACACCGGAGAAGAACTGCTCCTCGGAACATGCGACAGTAAAGGAGTTGGAGGCGTTGGCGTTCCCGTCAACACGAGTTTGTCCATAGACATGGATTCATTTGAACAACTTACAACCCGAATAGGACGTTTGCTATTAAAAAGACGTGGATCAATTCATGCTTTGATAATCTTCGTCGTTTGCGCGCCGATATCAAACTATGACGAAGAAGAAGTCGAAGCGTTCTATGTGGACTTGGAGAAGTTCTACACAGAAGACCACACATTCTTCAAAGCCATCATTGGAGATTTCAACGCTAAGATTGTACCAAGAAGAGCGTCACATTGGGACCCATGGATTAGAACGGAACGAACAGGGTAAGCGACTGTCTGAGTTTATCATGGCGACCAAGACAATCCATGGTAACTCGCAATTCCAGAAGCCCCACCCTCAGCGCTGGACGTGGGAGTCTCCCAATAGAGAGTACCATAACGAAAGAGACCACATCATAGTAAATGGAAGGTTTTGCCTCACCGTTGTCGCTGTTGTCTCAAAATTCTACACGGGATCAGACCATCGTCTCCTTCGTGCAAGATTCTATTCCTCGCGGAAAGGTGAAAAAGACGCTAAATTCCAAAACCGAAGTCCCAGAACCACCGTAAACTGGAATTTATTCAATTCATTAGTCGGCTGTTGGAAAGATGCCATTGTCGATAACATCGACGAAGAATACGATCGTTTTATTTAACATCTTCACGTTAGCGCTATGAAAACGAAGAGTTCGAAAGCCACCAAGAGACGTT